ACTAGTATTTCACCATGAAAATAGGGAAAACTAAATTGCTTTAGACCATTTCATCATGAGAATGAGATTTGGTAATATTGAAAATGAATCCCTGGTTAAACAAGAAAAATAACAAGAGGTAAATCTATTCATTTGTGTTGTTTATGCCATAAGTAGAATCTACATCCCTAAATTCAATCTTTAGTGAAATTTCTCCATTTGCATTTAACACTGATTAAACCAGATTTGTAGACAATAGCATTATAATTTTCTTACTCAGATTTATTGTAAGTCTAAATAATAGAGAAAAATAAGGGTCTAATACTTGTTTAATTTGCTCCTCGTGGGATCGACCTGATACATACCCTACGTTACGATTTCAGCCTGTACACTTGCAGTCAACGGGTATAAAATCGGATTTAAACTTGCATTGATATAAAAATCCCGTCAAGTTTTTGGCGCCGCTGCCGGGGAGCGGCAATATTAGGGCCTAATCATCTCTATTAATTTAGATATTTCCATTATTTTTATTCAAGTTGTTTATAGCTGATTTTAATAATTAAAACTGCAAAAATTTCTCTTATTTTTATTTGTAGTGTATGCACCGATCAAATCGAGAAGTTGCACTTTTCGATTCTGAAATTGAGAGGACACTACGGAGACAAAGGAGAAATACATCACATCAAGAGGAACAAGAGGTTTGGTAGCCAATAGAGGAAATCTTGATAGAGTTATCATTTGAGGAAAAAATGGCGGAAAATGAACCAAATAGGCGAATTCTACGAAATTTTGCTTTACCGGAAACACAAGGTTCTCAAACTAGCATTGCAAGGCCAACGGTAAATGATAATAATTTTGAGATTAAACCATCACTAATTCAAATGGTACAACAATCTCAATATGGAGGTAATGCCACCAAAGATCCAAATTCTCACTTGTCAACATTTCTTGAAATCTATGACACAATTAAGTTTAATGGTGTTAGTGATGATGCAATTAAATTTCGATTGTTTCCATTTTCACTAAGGGACAAGGTCAAGGTCTGATTACAATCTCATCCACCGAACACTTTTATAACTTGGGCTGAATTAGCTAAGCATTTTCTTAATAAATTCTTTCCACCTGAAAAAACTGTTAAACTTAGAATAGATATAACTAGTTTCTCTCAACAGGAAGGAGAGACATTGTATGAAATTTGGGAGTGTTATCGGGAACTGTAAAGAAGATGTTCTCATCATGGTTTACCAGATTGGCTAGTAGTCCAAATATTTTACAATGGTCTCACCTATCCAACAAAGACGCATGCAGATGCGGCAGCGGGAGGAGCATTGATGGGAAAGACAGTTGAGGAAACTCAACAATTGATTGAAGAAATGGCTGCTAACAACTACCAATAGGCCAACGAACGAGGTAATACAAGGAGAACCGCAGGTATGTTTGAAGTAAATACCTTGAATATGTTAAGTGTAAAAATGGATAATATGGTTAAGATACTTAATAGGGACATTGGTTCTAACTCTAATCAAGGAGTAGTTGTTGCATGTTGTACTACTTGCGGCGGAGATCATGATGATTCTATGTGTTCTAACAGCGAACAGATTCAATACCTCAACAATTACAACCGTCCACTCGAAAATAATCCATACTATAATACCTACAATCTAGAATGGCGTAATCACCCAAATTTTGGATGGAAGGATCAAGCGAACCAACAAAGACCAAGTAATCCACCGAATTTTCAACCAAAATAACCATTTCCGGAGTCCAAACCAGTTTGGAAATTGGCAATTGAGAAGCTGGCAAATGTATCAAATGATAAAATTGAAAAGTTAGCCAGTGCCACTACTCAACGGTTTGAAAGAATTGAGGGACGGATGGACCAACTCACCAATATGTACAGGAATGTTGAGATTCAATTAGAGCAATTAGCAAATGCGGTTAACAATCGCAACCAAGGGGATTTACCTAGTAAGACTGAGGTGAACCCAAGGGAGCATGTGAAGGCTATAACACTCCGTAGTGGTAAGGAAGTAGGTGAGCCGCCTGTAGTTGAATGTGAGAGAGAATGTGAAAGAAGAGAGAACAAGCAGTTGAGTGAGTTAGAAGAGGATAGTAAGAAAATTAAAGGGAAAGAAAAGGTGGAAGAAAATGAGCCACAAATTGGAGATACAACACCAATTCCACCGTTGTCATTTCCACAAAAATTGAATCCTTCAAGAAATGACAAAGAATTTGAAAAGTTTGTCAACATTTTTAAATAATTACATATTAACATTCTTTTGTTGATGCTATTTTGCAGATTCCTTCATACGCAAAGTTTCTCAAGGAGATAATGACTAAAAAAGGAGGTTAGTGGATAGTGAGACAATTGTATTAACGGAAGAATGTAGTGCCATCATACAAAATAAATTGCCACCAAAGTTGAAAGATGCAGAGAGTTTCACAGTTCCTTGCACTATTAGTAATGTAGAATTCTGTAAAGCACTTTGTGACCTTGGTACAAGTGTGTCATTGATTCCTTTAACTGTGACTAGGCAATTGGGGTTGAAAGAGTTAAAGCATACTAACATTTTCTTGCAATTGGCTGACAAGTCTATTAGACATTCGATGAGCATATTGGAGAATGTGCTCATTAAAGTACAGAAATTCATTATTCCTGTTGATTTTGTTATTTTAGATATGGAGGAGGATGTCAATGTACCTATTATACTTGGTAGACCATTTTTGGCCACCGCAGGTACAATAATAGATGTCAAACATGGTAAGTTCAAGTTCCAAATCGGTGAAGAGGAAGTGGAGTTTGATTTGAGTAAAGTGGAGAAATATCTCTCTTTTACTGATCATGTTTATTTCGTTGATATATGTGATGAATTGACATTAGAGATGAGTCAAGTTAATCTTGATAATGATTATCTTGAACTTTGTCTTAATGGTATAGGTATACAAGAGGAACAAGTTGAAGAAATGACTGAATTTTTGCAGGCACAGGTTTCTTACAAAAGGAAAAATGCATATGAGGAGTTAGAACTGAACAAAGAGCTACCTCCACCACCATGTGAGCAAGCACCACAGCTTGAGTTTAAACCATTGCCTAGGCACCTTAAATATGCGTTTCTTGGTGAAAAAGAGATATTGCCGGTAATCGTCAATGCAGCATTAGATGAGGAACAACTAGGCAAGCTATTATGTGTTTTGAGGAAGCATTGAAGGCTATAGGATGGACAATTTTTTATATCAAAGGAATTAGTCCAATTATTTGTATGCACAGAATTTTATTGGAAGAAAATTCTAAGCCAGTGGTTGAAACTCAAAGAAAGTTAAATCCAAACATGAAAAAAGTGGTAAGAGTAGAAATTCTTAAATGGCTGGATGCAGGTATAATTCTTCCAATTTCTGATAGTGTTTGAATTTCTCCTATACATGTAGTGCCAAAAAAAGGGGATAACCATAGTACATGGTAAAATGATGAAATGATTCCTTCTAGAGTTGTGGTTGGGTGGCGAGTCTGTATTGAGTATAAAAACTGAATGTAGCTACTAGAAAGGATCATTTCCCTCTTCCTTTTCTTGATCAAATGGTAGAAAGATTGGCTGGATATAAATTTTATTGTTTCTTGGATGATTTTTCAGGATGCAATCAATAGTCATTGCATCGGAAGATCAAAAGAAAACTACATTCACTTGTCCTTACGGCACCTTTTTATTTCGAAGGATGTCTTTTGATTGTGCAATGCACCGGCTGCCTTCCAACGATGCATGATGGTAATTTTCTTTGATTTTAATGAGAGAAATTATGGAAATCTTCATGGATGATTTTTCTGTATTTGGATCTGCTTATGATGATTGTCTTAACAATTTAGATCTAATTTTGCAGAGATGTGAAGAAACAAACTTTGTACTCAATTGGGAAATGTCATTTCATGGTTTGTAAGGGTATTGTGCTAGGTCACAAAATTTCTTCAGAAGGTATTGAGATTGATCAAGCCAAAATAGAGGTTATTGAGAGAATGCCTCCACGTACCAATGTGAAAGGCATTCGAAACTTTCTTGGACACGTGGGATTTTATCGGCGGTTTATTAAGGATTTCTCCAAGATTGCTAAACCTTTATGTGAATTACTTGCAAAAATGTTCCTTTTCATTTTAATGATGAGTGTTTACTTGCTTTTAATAGGTTGAAAAAGGAACTTGTCTCTGCACCCATAATAGCATCACCGGACTGGAACGTGTCATTCGAATTAATGTGTGATACAAGTGATTTTGCAGTTGGGGCTGTTTTTGGGCAAAAACATGATAAGCGACTTCATGTCATTTATTATGCAAGTAAAATGTTAAATGAAATCCAAGTCAACTATGCAACAACAGAGAAGGAGTTGCTAGCAATGATATTTGCATTGGATAAGTTTAGATCGTACTTAGTAGGATTTAAAGTTATCATTTATACTGACCATGCAGCACTCAAATATTTGTTAAATAAGAAAGATGCAAAACCTCGACTAATTCGATGAATTTTGTTATTGCAGGAATTTGATTTAGAGATCAAAGATAAAAAATGATCCTAGAATTTAGTCGCTGATCATCTTTCTAGACTGGAAAACATACCTCAAGAAGACCATTCAACCATTAAAAAATTTTCAGATGAGTTTTTAATGGCAATTTATAAGTCACCATGGTATGCTGATCTAGTTAATTTTGTAGTTAGTGGAGTGATACCAAGTGATTTGAATTCTCATCAAAGAAAAAAGTTCTTAAATGATATTAAACATTACTTTTGGGAGGAACCATTCTTTTACAAACATTGTGTAGATGGAATAATTAGAAGATGTGTTCCGGAAGACGAGGTACATAGTATATTAATGCATTGTCATACACTTGAAACAGGAGGTCATTTTAGCACAACTAAAATCGTTGTAAAATATGGCAATCTGGATTTTATTGGCCTACTATGTACCAAGATGCTAGAAATTGGGTTAAAAATTGTGATCAATGCCAAAAAACCGGTAATATCTCAAGAAAGAATGAAATGCCTTTGACTACGTATTTGGAAGTTGAGTTATTTGATGTTTGCGGCATTGATTTTATGGGACCATTTCCTAGTTCATATAATAATAAGTATATCCTTTTAGCAGTTGATTATGTCTCTAAATGGGTAGAGGCCATTTCTTCACAAACTAATGATGCTAAAGTTGTGCTTAAGTTCCTTAAACGGAACATATTTTGCAGGTTTGGAGTCCCAAAGGCAATAATAAGCAACGAAAATAAGCATTTTTGTAAAAAAATTATTGACACTTTGTTGCTTAAATATGGATGCAGGCATAAAAAGTCACTCCCTTATCATCCTCAAGCCAATGGTCAAGCAGAGTTGGCCAACCGAGAAATTAAAAGCATTTTGGAGAAAACGGTCAATCGATCGAGAAAGAATTGGTCGAACAAGCTTGGAGATGCTTTGTGGACATATAGAACGGCGTTTAAAACACTATTGGGAATGTCTCCATATAAGCTTGTTTATGGAAAATCGTATCATTTACCTATAGAAATAGAACATAAACCTTATTGGACAGTTAAAACTATTAATTTTGATTTTAAATCTGCAGGTGAAAAGAGAATTCTTGAGTTAAGCGAATTGGAGGAATTGCGGTTAACGTCGTATGAGAATGCTAAGATTTACAAAGAAAAAGTGAAATTTTGGCATGATAAACACATTCTTCCTAACCATTTTGAAGAAGGGCAAAAGGTGTTATTGTTTAACTCAAGCCTTAAATTATTCCCTGGAAAGCTTAAATCTCGATGGTCCGGGCCATTTGAAGCGGTTCGCATGTTTCCTTATGGAGCAGTGAAAATGAAAGGAGAAAATGGTGCCCCATTCAAAGTAAATGGTCAAAAATTGAAACTCTATTTGGTCGGAGAAAAGGTTCCTAAAGGAGTAATTTACTCCTTAGGAAATGCAATGGAGAGTTAAAGAAGTTATAGGAGAGTCGAGCCAATGACTATAAACAAAAGCGTTTGTTGGGAGGCAATCCAATAATAATAGTGTATTAGTGTGTTTTTATGTGTTTCTTACATTATGGTGTGATTTAATTGACTAATTAGATGTATTTCACTTGTTTGAAGGAGGTACGGGAGTTTCATCATCCATCTTGGAAGTACAATTGAAGAGCAAGTGTAAAAAGGGAGGTTTTCTTATCAAATTGTGTTTTAAAGTGCTTAAAATCCCCATATATATATACATTGTGCATTTCAAGTATATTCAAGTGAGTTTTGGTGATAACATGGTTATAAATGCTCATGGACTCATTTGGTGTGCATTTAATGCCCAAAAATGCCATTTTGGTGTAAGAGTGCAAAAATGATTAAAGAATCTCACCCCTCGATTTTCAATAAAGATGTATTTGATATGTTTTGAGAGGTTGGATATTGTGTTTACGGTATATTACATGTGTGTGGGAGGTTGAAATTTATAAAAAGTTTGTCCAATGTGTAATTTAGAATTGGCTGGAAAAGGGAGAAAAAGTTTGAAAATTTGCAGTTTCTGTAATTAGTGTAGTGAAAGCCAGATCCGAGCTCGGATCCAATTCAGCCCAGAAGGATCCGACCTCGAATCCATAAGATGCGAGCTCGGATCCAATTGAACTCAGATGGATCCGAGGGCTCGTCTGTGTTTCTGGTGAGACGGATCCGAGCCCTGTCGGATCCGAGACCTCCAGAACCGATCCGAGCTCTGATCGGTTCGCGGATATAGCAGAAACGAAGCCTCGTTTCTGCACTTTTCAAAATTTTTCATCCCTCTTTCACCGAAACCTAGCCCTCTCTTTCTAATCTTCCCTTTTAACCATCAATTCTCCAATCTTTTACCATAAACACCTCCCCAACCCTTGTATGATCAGAAACCCCAAGCTATTTCAACGCAAAACATCATCAAAAGTGGATTTTGATCCTAAAAAGGGAATTTTGGGCCGCACGGAAATTCTTCAATTTCTGGGTGATTTTCGTTTGTTTTCTTCCTCATTTTAGCAACATCATCATCCCCTATCATTACTCTACGCATTTGAGGTAACAAATTGCAACTTTCTTTGAGATTTTATAGTTCCCAATTTTACATTTTTTTTAGTTTTTGGGAATATTGTGATAAATGCATATTTGTTGGAATTTCTTGATACAATTGTGCTACATTATACTAAAATAAGTTGTTACAACAATTGTTATGCTTAGTATTGAGTGAATTGCAGATTTGGTGATATGTTTGAAAAAAAAAATAAAAAAGAAAAAAAAAGTTCAATTAAATAAGAAGTAGTTATTCAATAAGTTGAATTTGTTTTAATAGTGGTGGTGCTTATCTTTATACCATTTACTCGACCCATTTGATAAAGAAACAAATTGGTATGAAGTCCATGGATATAAATGCTACGTGGATGAATTTGAATGATATGTTAAGTATGCTGAGAATTTTGGACATGTGCTCTTGGATAGATAATTTTAAGTAACATTGATGTTGCAATTGAGCTTGAGAAGTAGTTAACTAGGCTATGTACTTGAATTTGTCAACTTTTGGCAGGGAGTTTAGCCCTTTTATAAGGGGAAACTCTGCCGAAATTTTCTTAAATTTCTACTTAACATATGAGAGCAAGTTTATATTATTTCTAATAAATATTCATTTTCGTTTTGATTTAGGCATGATGGTTCGCACAAGAAGGGCTATTATTCATACATCTTCGCCGTCTTCGAGTGAAGAACATACACCTTCGCCGTCTTCGAGTGAAGAAATACACCTTCCTTGCATGAGGAGTCGCCAGTGGAGGAGTCTCCTTCACCACAGTCCCTACCTCGTTCTCGCCGGAAGACTGTGTCTACTAGCTGCGAAGAGCCGCTTCCAGATTATGATACCACGCGATTCACCTCACTCGAGAATCAACAGTGGTATGAGGCCGGTCTAGACAAGGAGATCATTATTGAAAAATATTTGGCACAGGAGGTGGATGACCACTATAAGATCTCCACGGCATTCAAGGGACTCGGATAGGAGAATATACTACAGTTGCCTAAGCATTACTATCCTAATATGGTCCGGAGTTCTACGCCAATGTAGAAAACAAACAGAGCCACAGTGGCAATCTCATCGTCTCGTGGGTTTGAGGCAAGAGAGTGGCTCTCAATCGGGATACACTGAGACACTTCGTCCAAGTCAAAGACGAAGGAGTTGATGTCAAGTTAACCAAGGAGTTCAAGACACGTGACCCTTGGCAAGTGGGAGAAGCGGTAGCATGCTTAAAGGTGCAATACCGTGAGCGAGGAAGTTCAAAGAAGCTCACCGTATATGCCAACTCCTTCGAGCCTAGGTACCACTTGATCTTCTACCTTTTGGCCTTCAATGTGGTACCAAAAAGAAGTGAAAAACGGGAGCTCTGCAACAGTGATCTCTACTTCCTAGATAAGATGATGCATGTTTGGGTGGGCAGTTGACTGGTATTCCCCTACCCAGCATCATCATCAACTATATGCGGACTACAGCTCGCATGAGGGCGACGAGACCTGTTTCGGGTTTCCTCGACTGCTATCCCTCATTTTTGAGAAGTTCAAGGTTCCTCTTAGAACCGAGCGGGCTATTGTCACTAGGTCCGCCGACGAGGTCAGTGCCTCGATACTCAAATCTTTGAGTATCCCTACGGATTTTGGAGCTACTTTGATTCAGGACACCGGTGAAGTTTCAACTTCCACTCAACCTCCGCCTCACACTGAACCTCAATCGGAAGCTCAAGAGATGGAGGCACAGCAGACTCTTCTCCTCCCGTTCCGCGACCACCTCCTCCACTGCGCTCCAAGTGGCAAGAGCTCATCAATGCCATTTGCCGTATGGAGACACGAGTCATCGAGCGCATTTGACCAGACAGAGCGGATGATGACTGAGCGACTCGACCGATATGATCGTCCTTCGTGCGATCGAGGATCATTTCCATATCTGCCGGCCCCTACTCCGACACCTCAGCAGGAGTGCCACATTGGTACATCACATGGTCCTCATGGAGCCGAGGAGGCCGTAGACCCTCGTTTCGAGCAGCCACGACGCTCTTAGTCGATTGGATCTTTTATTTCTTTATTTTTCTTTTCTTCTGTTAAGATAAACTTTGTAGATTTTATTTTTCTTTTATTTTTGAATCATCTTGTGCTACTTATGTTTCTTCGTACTTTTTGTTTCACTTTGACCAGAATTGGAATGATCGTGAGGATTAAGGGCTTCAAATTGCATCACCACCTATTTGAGGGAAGTTTCAGTTTCTTTAACCTTCCTCTATAATGAGGACATTGTAGATCTTAAGTGTGGGGGAGGGATTACTTTATCTTATGTGATATTGTCTTGAAGTGCATGATTTTAGTTGTTATTATGGTTTAGAAATGTTGGAATTATATTTTGAAAATATTGTCATGAGGATAATTTTCGTGAAATTGAGGTTGTTGACAGGGAGTTTTGTCCATTTTTTTGGGGAAAGTCTGTCAAAATTTTCTAAAAATATTTTTCAATATTTCATTGCAATTCTTTCAATTAAATGGCCAAAATGTTCAAATTTTAAGTGTCTAATTCTTCCATTGGATAAAATATTATATGTATTTTGGAAAAGTTAGTCCTTATTTGGCTTGGAATGAATTATTATGCAATTAGGATTTTTATATTTTAGAAAGTATATTTGGTTAAATAAGAAAAATTATGTTTAGAATTTTGCATGATTAATGATATTTCTCATTTTTACTTAATTTTATAAGTAAGTGATTGATATAGTTAAGACAATGCCAAATTCTTCCTTTAATTATGTTAGAGGGAAAAGAAATTATATGTTAAAAAAAATTTAAAAAAAAAAGAAAAAAAGAGAAAATATATATATATTATCAATTTGCTACTTCAATGATTCACATACTGAGTAACCGGGGTTGGTATTTACAAATGTCAACATTCGCGTAAAAAAGTATTGGAATTAAGAGTATGCTTAGCAATTTGAATAAGTGAAATGTTGAGTAACTGGAAATTTTCACCTAAAAGTGTTGATTTTCGCGTAAAAAGGCATTTTCACTATTTAAATAAAATGAAATGTGAATAAATCCAAATTGTTAAGTTTTGGGATGAGGAAGGCATAAAATTGACTATGTGATTTACTTATTTGTGGAATTATGATAGAATGAGAGATTGAGTTGAATTTGTTGAAATTAAGGCATAATTATTTTTATTAATTGAATATTATGATTCAATGTAATCTGAGAAATGGCATAATGATTGGTTTCTAGGTTTTGAGGAATTAAATCTAACAAAAGTATGTATATTGTTTTATCTATTGAATCATTGAAGTAAGTTTTGTGCGAATTGCTTGAGGATAAGCAATGATTCAAGTGTGGGGGAATTGATAAGTAAATATTTAACGTACATTTTGTACAAATTTGGCATGAACTTTTGGTATGTTTTGAGAAGATTAAAACCATATTTGAACTCTGTTGGTAATAATTGCTTAAATATTGTTAAGTGTTCAAAACTTGATAAATGAGTGGATTAATGCGTTAATTTTGTGAAATTGTGAAGGTTTTGATGTATGAAATTCATGCACGAGCTGAAAGAAATGTAAGGATCGTCCAGAGGACAAAGTAAAAAAAATTGGGTGAAAAAATGAAGGAAAAAGGAAAGAAGTGAAAAACTGAAATTCAATGGCACGGATCCGAGCTCGGATCCGTGAGAGCAAAGAGGAATCTGAGCCCTCGTCTGTACTTCTGGAGGATGTATCCGAGGTCAGATGATCCGACTCGGATCCGTCATTGGAAGTCCTCGGATCTGAAGATCCCAGCTCGGATCCATTTTCACCCCTCGGATCTGCTTCTCTCTCCTGCAAGTGGCACAGCCGTTCTTTCTCACTTTTCACACAACTTCTCTACTATTTGGATTGAGTGAATTCGGTGGCACATGCTTCTGCAACAAAAAGGAAGACA